CTAGGACTATTTTGTTCTGAATAACTAAAATACTGAACTTCTAAAGACTTAGGGGAGCAAATTGGTTGTGAAAAGAAGACATATAGGGATTAAATTGTAGGGGGAAAAAAAGCCTAAAAAGTGTTCTGGAATTTCTTCTTCTATACCTTTCTCCTCAATAAGCAACCTAGAAAAATGACAGAAAGTTGCAAAATCAGACTGAATGCTCTGGAAAAATATAAGAAACTTTGTGAGGAAGTAGTCTCAGACACAGGTTTAAGAGTAAAGATCATGGTTATGTTTTAAAAAGCTGAAAGTGTATTAAATGGGTAGCAAACTATAGCTGAGATTTCACCAGAAATATGACTTTTGGTAAGGGTGTTCTATTTCTATATACCTTGATTATATGACTTATTTTTTGTTGAAGTTTCAGCGCTTTATGGTGAAAATTATCTTTTCATATGAAAGAGTCGAAAAGTTGCACTGCTAAGAAAATGTGAAAAAATAATGATGAGAAGTAATGGAATTTATGGTAAAGGTGAACAAAAAATACTAGTCAAAACAAAATTGAAATTGTGTCTTTTTAGTAGTCTGAGGACTCTTAAATTGCTTCCACAGGCCACTGGCAGCCTGGGGTTTTTTCCTGAGTTATCTAAAACTACCTGAGACAGCATAGCTGGGAATACGTTTTTGTGTGAAAAATCTTGCATTTCTGAGATGTGTTGAAGCATCGTTTGACAGCAAGTTTTTTTGCTTTTGCTGTCTTCCAGAGACTATTCAATAAATGACATTTCCATGCATTTTAGGTTAGAACCTCTATCTTATGCAGTATCACTTGGATAAAGTGTCATCTGAGCAGCCACAATCAATATAAGCATAAAGTCTTATTTTCACATACCATTTACACTTGACATACTTCTCTTCAACATACTCTTGTCTTTCTGTGTAAGACAGTTAAGGTATATTAAAAAAAAAAACAAAACTCCCAAGATTGCCATTCTAAGTTTCTGTAAGTACTGGGGTGAGCTCGCTGCCTCCATACTCTGTTCAGAGATGACTGCCTGCCCCACAACTGCCCCTTCCTATGCCCCAGTGCTCACTTTTCCCAGCCCTGGCCAGCCTTTGCCTGCCCATAGTTACTTTTTCCGCAAATTTCGTGTTTCACTGTTGGTGTTTCACTGTATCTTTGTATGCAATGTTGGCTTCATGCACTATTAATAGTTCAGTTACCTTAGTACCTTACCACCCCTGAAGTCTGCCCTGTATTCCACCTTTCCATGGAGCTTGTCTGGTTTTTGTGTAACTCTGCTGTGATGGTCTGTACACCCACTCTGCAGCTTCTTGCATTGTCTGTCACATCCAGCAGTTTTCTTATGTCCAATAGTTTTTCACACCCTGTTTATTTATCTTAATATCAGGCCAAGGCCTGGTCATCTGCCTGCAGCCAGGATCCAGCTGGCTGACCGGTCAGTTCTTCTGACAGTGCTCCGCTCCCCACTGGAGCAGCTGTCTGGGCAGTGAATGATTGGAGGAGCCTCAGTCCCAGCACTGTTGGAGAAATTGAGTCAGGCTGGTCCTACTGCTGCCACACCTTTGCCACCTCTTCCCAGTGTCATCTTGACATTTTTTTCTTTTCTTACCTGTTTGTAATTTCACCTCTTTGTCCCCTGCCTGCAAGTGCTGTAAGGACTAGGTGCCAGCTGCTGAGGGTATGGGGCCAGCAGCAGGAGTCAGGGCAGGAGTGTAGGTGCCCCAGGCCTGTGGTGTCAGCAGCAGTGGGTGGGGGTCTCAGCTCCAGGCACAGGGGCAGTAACAGCATAGACCCTCAAGGAGGACAGGCAGTGTGTGTCCTACCTGCATCTGCAAGTGAGGCTGGGGTGAGGGAGGCTCTTGGCACATCTGGACTGGGCTGCTGGTCACAGCTTGTGCCTGTGCTACTGCTGATGGAACAGGCTGACTGTCCAATATTCATGTGCTTTGACCCCACGTGTGTGTCGCTTGGGCATGTGCAGTTCACTAGCAAACCTCGAATTGGGGTAGCAGTGTGTGGGAGAGGGACTTTTACAAGGGCGTGTAGTGATAGGACATGGGGTAATAGGTTTAAACTGAGATGGGTTAGGGTTGGATAGTAATAAATTCCTTACTGTGAGGGTGGTGAGGCACTGGCACATGTTACCCAAAGCTGTGGATACCCCATCCCTGGGAATGTTCAAGGGCCCCTGAGCAATCTTGTCTAGTGGAAAGGTGCCCATGCTGTGGGTTGGAACTAGAGGATCTTTAAGGCCCCTTCTAACCATTCTGTGTTTCTATGGTTCTGTGATCTGGGAAGGGGTGTCAGGTGGCCAGAGGGCCCTTGCTGGTGCCTGTGAGGTGAGTGTATGCATCTACCTGCGGGTGAATTGCCACCAGCCAGCAAATGGGAGACCCATAAGAGGGACACAAGAACTATGGCCCTGGCTAAGGGCTATTAGATGGACAGAAGGATATGCTGTGCTGATACTGAGTGTTCCACAAGTCCTCATGTGTTTGGGCATTATGAGGGGGTAGGAGGTGGCATGCTCTCAGTAGTGAACTTAGTCCTGATCAGAAAAGAAGGAAGAGGTCTTGGCTGGCTCTACTGAAGTTCATGTGGTCCTGAGAGTGCTACATAGTGCAAAGCTGAGCTTCACTACTGGTTGAACCTGTCAATGAGAAAGCAAGTGCTACATCTGTGGGCCTGGAACAGACACCTCCAGATCTCTGGACACATTGGGCTGGGCTGCAGCATCAGGGCAGGAGGAATCCCTTGAGTGGCCTCAGAGATACTGGAGGGGACGTCCATTTATAACATCCCTTAGCACAATTGTAAAGATGGTTCCATAAAAGATATTCAACACTAAGATTTTCCTTGTGAGTCAGGTGGATCTCCAAGTTGAGAAAACTGTACTGAGAAAAATACCACTATTTCTTTTTTCTGTTTTATTGTCTGCTGCTGACCATTAACAGAGACAGAATAAACATGTGTTTATTACAGTAACTTGACTCGTGTGGCTACGTTTACAAAACCAAACAATATTCTTCTGTGGAAGAATGTTTAAGTCAAAAATGCTTAGTTTGCCTTAAGACTAGGAGAACTGAAGGAGATAATTTATAAAGTTGGGGATTTAAGCCTGAACAGAAGGTTCTTGGCCTCATTTTGTATCCTAGGCATTTTAGTGTGGCTTTAATGACTTCACATTCCAAAGTGTAATTAAATCTCCAGTATTCTTCATGATTCTGCAATGTCTTGGGAATTCTGCAGTATTGTCATATCAAAATTAAGCTTCTGACATTCTCATGGAGGGATCGCTGACGTTTGTCTGCCTCTGCCCTGAACCCTGTTGCAGCATTTAAATCCTAATAAGACAGGAAATAAGCAGTTTTATTTGGGATGAAGATCATAGGAATTATCTTTTTTGTGTGTTTTTGTTCTTATTTTATAAACCAACAGCTTAATTTAATGGATAATATTGAGTTACAGAGCTTCATTTGAAACTCCTAACCTCCTATGTGGCAGTAAGCATGTCATTTAACCAACGCGTCCTACTTTCACCATCTGTGAAACACTTTGGAAAGTCATGGAAAACTGAATCATAGGTCTTTTCCATCTCTATTAGGTCATCCAACTGTTCATCTGCCAGTAGAAGATTGTTTCCTACATCCACCACTGTTTTTGCAGTGTAGATCCTGTCCTCTTAGTGATTGGGCTTCTACTAGTACCTTTGGGAGATGATTTTGCAGAGTTCTAGATCTCATTGTCAGGAAACTCTTCTGACAGTCACAAAAAGAGGTTTTGTTGTTGTTGTTAGTTTAACTGAGTTCTATTGCTTTTTTCCCGTTAGTATGTAATTGCTTACAGTTTTAAGTATACACAATTCATGATAATTAAATAGATAAATTGCAAGTGTCTGTAAAGTATCTTATCTATACAGATAGAAGAAAAACATAAGGTTTTGAGATGCAAGGTATGACCTTTCATAAGAAGGTAAGGTACTTGGTTTTTCCTGAAATCGTGTGTAAGGAAGTGTACAGGCTGCTCCAGATTTACAACAGAAAAGGGATAGAATATGGAACTTAACAGTGGAGTTAAAATGAAGGTATTGGAATAGCTTTCAAGAATGCTTAAGCAGGGAAAGAAAGAAATTAAAAAATACAGTGTATTTTTTAACATGAAAGCTATCAGAAGAACTAAATTACTTTGTAGAGAATTTTAACTTTTTGAAATGGGTGGATGTTGAGTCCGGTATAAGAATAGTTAAACTGCTTTTAAAATGACTATCTGAGATACAACGGGTATGTAACATGTCTTTTTGTTGCACTGCTGTAGGAGGAAAATAATGTTCAATTAATTCATTTGATGAGGTTAATAGAGCATTTTGTAATACAACCTACATAAAGCATGTGTCTTAAAATAGCAAGAAATCTGTCATGGGGGCATATTTGGTAAAATATTCAGCTTTTAACAAAATCCACTTGTCCAGGGTTTTCATTCCTCTATTTCAGCTGTCAATGCAAATGCTTATGTCCAGGAATGCAAACTGCATGCTCAGTCAGTCTCTTTAGAAAAATAATAGTATTTTTTTTATCTCAGCTTCATTTTCATTGTCTTTAACTTATATATTCATGTACATTGATAAGATGTAACTTCATCAGAAGATAAGTTGGGAATTTAAGGCCTTCCAAAGTTTATTTGTAGTACAACAATATGGGCAATATTTCTGTGAATAAAACCACCCATCCTACATACATTGCTGTTGAAAAATCCCTCTTGCCTTCAGCACTAGTATATATAGTCAGGTTAGGCATAAGGTAGTGTTTTGAAAAGGTCAGTCAGGATAAATGTAGTGTTTACTTACACACCAAAAAATTCTCCACATAATGAACTGGTTTTCTTCCTTTAAGAGATTAGGGAGGTGCCATGATTAGAATGTTTATAAGGAAGGTGAACCTTAGACTTCATATAGTCTGATCATAAGAAGAATAAACTTATCTTTCATCTACAGGAAATAAAACCAGATGAAGTTACCAGACTAGCTCTTAGGACAGAAGTTAATTTTGAAAGTGTCTGCAAAAAGGTAAGACTTGCTGGTTTTTGTTTTTCTTCCCCTGCTTCTCTCAGTGTGAAAAGGTGCATGTGTGGGTGCCAGTACATGGATTTGACACAGTGTGTTCTGTTTGTTGTGTTGTATCTTCATTGTAGATCTTCCTTTTCTGAGGAAGTTTATCCTTTGGGACATATCTACAGAAAAATGAATAGCCGTCTAGTATGAATTGTCATTAATCTGGTGGGCTAGTCCATAGTAATTAGAACAGAACGCCAGGAAGCATAGTGGTGTTTTCTTAGTCTTTATAAATAGATTTGTTTTGTTTATATAGTATATATACATGTTATAGTATAAATTCATTTAGTATAAATTAATTTTCAATTAATATAAATAATCTAAGTAAGCTTTCAGCAACAGTTGGGAAAAGGCACTTTTAAGTACTCCTAAATGCATAGAGAAGTTTCCATGTGAAAACAAAACAGGACAAACATTAACTTGAAACAAAGGTGGAATTCTAACACCCCTGTAGCTCATTTGTTTCCGTGTAATGTTTCTCTTGAAGCCTGCTGATGGTACAGTATCAAATATTAACAGCCTAACTAGAGATCTCATAAGAGATTAAATTAAGACACAGAAGTGCAAGACACTCATTGAAATAAGCAGCTGAGGCCGAGAGCAGTCCTCTTTCAAAGAGCATGTTACATTTTTGATGCAAGAACGCAATTCTGAGTTTAAAAGTGTCAGTGCATGAAGTTTTATGGGTTTTTTCACTTTATCCTTAATTCCTATGGGTGGTCACTGACACTTGAAATGTTTATTGTACACAGGGTAAGTTTTAATGTTGAATTGGGTCATTTACTCCTGTAATGGCATCATTAGTTTGTAATTTAACTCTGCTGTTGCATATTACAGTCGTGTGATGTAGTTCAGTTATTAGCATAGTGTGCAGCAAATTTTTCAATGTTTTATGTCAGCAAAATCAAGTTAATAGGAAAATATCACAGGAATTCGGTATTTCTGGAGAAGTGTTTGGGTAGAAGCATCCTAACTGTTTTTCCTTCTCTTAATGATAGAAGAGAGTAAGGAAAAGGTCACAGATACACTGGCATGAAGCTAAAAAGCATTCTTCTTTTAAATTTATTTGACCAGGATTTTCCAGTATGAAGATGAGGCAGTCAGAAACTGCTTGCTGTGATATTAGAATTGGGGCAGACACAAAGATTTTGAGTGTGTGAGGACACATGGGAGAGGGATTTTATTCTTGAAGAGGGATGCTAAATTCAGTGACATTTTGTCATTTAACTGTAGGAGATTCTTCTGCCAAGAATTCAAATTCACCGGGTTTATGCTGATTTCATAAAGTGAAGGAGGACCAAAATGAAATTATTGATGCTATTTAGTAAAGGAGTTTGTAGGTTCACAGTTGGATTTGGAATTTTATTTTCTAAGGTGGCAATTTTATTGAAAGAATGCTGAAGGAAATTAATTAATCTTATTTTCTATAAATTTTTATATATTCTATATATTTTTATATATTCCTTATTTATTTATATACCAGTCATGACTGATGGACTGTTTCTCATATTTACTTAAAGTCTTAAAATAGGCTTTAATTTAGCTTTAATTCTTGAAAATATATATGCATGGAGTTTTTTCGGGGTTTTGATCTGTTGTTTTTCTGTTACTTTCTGCTGGTGGCCCAGTTTTTCTAGGGAATGGAACTCTGTTAATTTCACAGTTTTTAGTGGACAGAACTTATATTTCAAATCAAACTGATGAATAGATGCTGATCCTTTTTATAATCTGTAGAGGGTTTTAACCTCCTTTCAGTAGAAGAATATGTACAATGTATATCATAACTTCACTGGTTGCTTTTGGTTGACCATAACATATCCCCAGCGAAAGAAGGCATCCCTTCTGTGCTTAAACAGAAGTTAATTCTCCGGTATTTTATTTCTTATTTTTCCACAGTTAGTCCTTAAACATATAATAAAAAATTTGATCTTCTGTCCTTAGCAATATTCTGTAGTCTCATGAAATACAGACCACATTGTTTACCTTTTCATTAACTTGAGTTTCAAAATATTTGAAGGAAAACATCCTGTGGCTGTTTTCATTTTCAGAATAGGTTTGTTTTCATTGACAAAAGGCAATCTGCTTTTAATTCACTGTGGAATGCTGAATATTAGTTTTACATAGTGGTCATGTAGTCAAGATACTTTTTTAATTGCTTCTGCTCACCGAGTTTTTATGTTCCATTGCTGTTCCCCAAACTTTTTCAGAATTAAGTTAAGCATACTTTTCTGTTTAAAAAGAGTTTGCATATATTTCAGTCAAGTACAGTGAAATTGTGCTAATTTGTTTAGCAGGTGGCAATTTACTGGGAGTTCCTGTGATTTAGATTTCAATATGGCTGTATTGATAATAAGCAGATCAGATTTATTGAGTTGCAGGGGGTGTTGGCAAGAGTCACCAGCCCCATGACACAAGACTTTTTTTGAAAGCATTACAAGAAGCAGCTGGTAAACAATTCTTTATGTATGTCTGCTGAAATATTTTTAATCAATCTCAATATTGCTGCACCTAGCACCATTGTTACCGACAGGTTATAAATCCTATTGTAAAAGTTGGATTTTTACAATACAATAATACGAAAATTAGATTTTTACAATACACAACGAGGCACTCTCCCATCCCACATCACGTCAATCCAAAACTCCTCCACACGAGAACACCTTCTCATAGCCCTCCATATAATTCCCATAAATGCTTCTAATCCTCAAACCTGAACTAATCTCTGGTATCCCCATATGCAAGTATAGTTTCAACCAAAACATTAGACTGCCACTCTAAAAATAGAAATAAAACTCTTCTTACCTGCCAAGGAGAGGTAAAACCAATGAAAACTGCTAACTCTTGTGTCTGTAAAAACTGTAATAAATTTACCATGCAACTTTACCAAAGTTACCATGCAACTTTGACTAGGCTTTATATTGTTGGTTCTATTTATAGCTGTTGAAGAACAGATCCTGTATTTTGTAGATTTTCTCTGAGTCCTCGTACACTTTTTGTACCAAGTTGTGCATTGTCTGTCACAAATATATTTGACGGACATAAGTAAAATTAGAAAAACATGTCATAGAGCTCATATTTTAAACTCATATTTGCAGCTGTGATGGCATTTTGAACTGTTGCACACAGCTATATTCCTGCAGTGTATGGGAAGCTTGATTCATCAGTGTTTTGCTCCAGGAATCTGAAGTTATAAATTGGAAGCTAACCCTAATAATGCTCTTCATTACAAGCCGAAAACTGAACTAAGCACTGGCAAAGTCTTAACTGTTATCTTCAACTTGTTGCTAACGGAGATTTAGGGTAGTTCAGGTAGGTGAAGATAGGCAGGATAAATAAGTTAATATGAATTAATGTTTTTATTACAAAATTATGTTTATAATCTGGGCTGTTTCCTTAAGAAAAGAGGAAACACCTGCAAACACCTTCATCATAACTAGGGGTTGGTTTTGTTGCTTTTGCTAACAGATGTTGACTAACTTACTGTAGCATCTCATTTAGCTTTTCTTCCATACTTTGGTGTATAGCACATAAGGAAGAAATGTGTTTTAAACACTTGAGAATGAGAGAATTCCAGCATAATGGAACTGTGCTTACAAGCAGTAATATGTCATCTTGCCTTAAGTCAAAATACTTACTATTTTTTCTAAAGAATAAACTCTATGTGTTTCAAAATACAGCAGCAGTCTGATTTGGGGAGCAGTGTTGAAACAGAAATGAACTATTGTATTTTACATTGAGTGTAGAATAGAGTACCAGTATACATTATGATCAGAGATTGGATTGAACACGTGCTTCTGACTTGTAGAACAAGCATTCACAGATCATAAATACCACCTATATTTTTTGCCTCCAGATGCTATATTCACATAATGGTAGGAGCATAATATTCCCTTCTTTTACACTGATCTTTAATCTGTGGTCGTTGAGAAGAATGCCACCTTTTCCTATTAAGTCTTGTGTTTCCACGCATTGCACAAGGCCTGTTGTGTTTGAATCATGCAGATGCTTGTCTGCAAAGAGGATTCTGCACAGCAAATACTGAGTGTATTATTATCCTCAGAGCTTTTTTGGGGCCACATCTCAAGATTACTGAAAAGCTTGCCCCAGTTTCTAAATACGTTTAAAAAAATTTGTAGGCCAGAAATGTAAGTCATTAGTAGCTTTTTTTCCCCCCTAATTTAAGTTCTGGCAAGCTTGTTTTGGATTGCTTCATGTACAGGAACCAACTTTGTCTTGTTTGGAATTTAAAAGGAATTCAGAGACTTTAGAAATAGGATCTCAAGCAGCTCATGAAAAGCCATAGGGAGACATGCCAGGATTTAACTGAGCAACTGGGTACGCAGTGTGAGTTTGGTCATTTAAAATCTAAGCTGCCTGATGAGGACAACTCGGCTTAACATGATTTTGGAGGGTTGACATTAGTGCTGTGTGGCTTCTGGTGCAGATATTTTTAACAGATGCCTAAAGATATAGTACACTTAGAAGTTCTGGGGTTGAGTACATTTGGTATCTCTGGCACTTTACCTATATGGCTTAAATGAACTTGGGATGAGGGAGCCAACCAAAGTACTAACAGTAGTACGAAAGGGTTTTCTGTGATTTATCAAACAAGACTTTGACTTATTCATATGTGAGAAGACCATTTCTGTTTCACCTCCCAAACTTCTCCTTGAATTCACTCAGTCTCTGGTGTAGGCTAAGGAAGTCCTTGGGCAACATGGACATGAGAAAGAGGTTAGAAAGGTGTTTCTGCCCAGGACAGACAGGAAGAAGAATGACAAAGTTATAGGGCTAAATATGTATTAATTGTATTTCTTTCAAAAGAGTGTTTCAAGCACATTATCAAAATAGCATTTGTCAGATTCATGTCCTTTTTAAATTATGCAGGTGATGGCCTGAGATTAGTCTATCAATTCACAGCCTCTCTGTCATTAGTAAACAAAGAGTGAGCAAGG